ACAATCTAAAATTTATCTTGCTTTTCCATTAAACGTAGAGACCATATTTGAGTCAAGAAAATTCTACTTGACTATTTTCACATGCTTGACAAGTAGAAAACATAGTATTTCCTTGACCATTCTTAATTCTACAGGGTTTAGAGTTTGATTCGGTTTTGGGTGGGAAGGAAACTTCGGGTGGAAGATTCGGTAATTAGCCATTTGCTTGAATGTTACTTTTAACATTAGAAGAGGGGGGGTACCATGCAAAAAATAGGGAAGTTAAAGTATTGCAAATCGAGAGAGAGAGCGAACATGGGAAAGCTCACAACCAGGAGTTATCCTTCTTGAGCTTCTGTTTATTTTACGCCAGCGAAAACTGCACAGAGCTTGGATTGCTTGTTCGTCTCCTAGGATACTGCAGGCTGTCGCATCTTCTTAGCACCCGGAAGAGCGCCTGGAAGGGCAGGTGTTTGTAAACTTTTGTCTGCGCCTGCGCAGGTCCACCGTTTCCGCTTAGTTTGTGAGGCCCGGATTGCAGACGCCAAAAGACGTGCAGTTGCCATGGCAGCCCAATCGAGGCTGCCTAGGGAGCAGGTGGTGGGGTCGCCCAGGTCTCATTGTCAGAGCTTAGAAAGAGGAGGAGAGGAGAGCTACCCCGGCCATCTCTGAAATCCCAGCTGCTGCATCTTTTACAGGCAGGAGGGGCTATAGAGGGAGAGAAGGGAAGGATGATATGGAGTTATTTAGGGCGGGAGAAAGGGTAAAGGGTTAAAGGTGTGGGACAAATGGGAGGAAAAGTGGGTAGAGAAGAAAAGGGAAGGTCGTTCTTGGAGCTTTATCTTTCTGAAGTTGGGCACCATGGAGCCTGGCGCTGGCCGGGAATCCCTGTAAAATGCCTTGCTTTGTATGAGGAAACCCCTCCAAGGGTAGATTAGTCTCTAGGATTTGTAGCGTTTCCTTTCTCTAAGTATTCATTCACCTTTGGTAGAAAAATAAGCTCCTGAATTGTTAGCTTCCATGAACAGGTTAAGATATTTGTATAGGCAGTTGGCATGCTGAGTGAAAATTAAAATGGTCACCTGATGTAAAATATTTATCGTCCAACTTTGTGATAGATTGTAAATTAAAAAATTACTCTTGGAATCGAAGTCTTGGCATTATGCAGCAGGAAGAATGGGGCAGGTGGTCTCACTGATGTTAGGGGTTAGCTTTTGCCTAAGTATTTTAAAAATGTCTTCTCTTTGATATTCTTTCAGTTTTTAAAAAATTTAAACAAGCTTATGTTTTAAAGGATAGGAATTAGACCAGAATCAATGAATTAAGTTAAAGTCTTTCTATATGATCTGAATCCCGAAAGAAAATTACCAAATTGAGTCCAAAATTTAGCTTAGACTCACACTGAAAGATATGCAGTCATACTCACTTGGGACTTAGCAGACACCCAGGAGGAAGGAATTAATTTCTTCTTACTATAGTTCTCTATTATTAATAGGGCAATTCTGGCCTAAGCCATATATACATAGAGTTTTCTTTTAAACTGATGATAAATATTGGGACTTAAAATGTGTTAAACTGACAAGGAATAAAAAATGTTAGGGGATTAAGTTTGTGTAAAATTTTGTTCCAGTATGTTTTTGAGTACCATATGGCTGGTACCCTGGGGAAGGAGATTAAAACAAGGGGAAGGGATTGAATATCCTGTGACGCATTTGAAAAAGGCTTAAGGGACTTGGTAACAAAAGTTTGTGATTTATGTTCCTTGTTTACTTGGGAACCAGTCGTACATTTTTTTTTTAAGTTATAGAGAAAAAAAATGGCACTTCAAATTTGATACAACATCCCAGAGTCACTTCAACTATGACATTTTTTCATGATGGCATCATAATATATTTATTATGTTAATTTTATGTTTTAGTTTAAATTTAAGTTTTCAGATGTGTGAGACTGTGTAAATTATAAAGCATATCTACTAAAGTCTTCAGGGGATCATTAAGAAGAAAGCACCAAAGAGTTACCTGCAAGTTGTATTATAACAGTTATGTAATTACACATCTTAATAAATTTCAAAAATCCCTGGTCAGAAAAGTGAAACTGATTATTCTAAGGCATTTGTGACCATGATAAATTGTGTTATTTATGTATTTGGGAACACAGTGAGTTTTAGTGTATTCTGTATCATTCCTTGCACTATTCCTTTTAATTGGTGGGTAAGTAAGCACAGCAGCTTACTTGATTTATCCTCTTTTGCATCAGGGGGGTGGTAGATAAACTCACATTGAAATAGTAATTTGGTTTCTTCAGGTTACCTCAAAATATTATTGTTCTTGATCTCTCATGTGTAAGTCATTGAGGCCTTGTTTTTTAAAGTTCTTTTTGTATTCGCTTGAAAGCTTAATATCTAAAAGGAATTATAGTCAACTAACACATTAGAAATAGTTCTAATCATCTGAATGAATAATTAGGTTGACTATCTAACATTCAGCATACCTAAAACTATCTTGAGATAAAAGGACCATTATCAAGAACTATCCAGAAGAAAGATGGCATTTAAATGAAACGGACTTCAGAATTTTTTTTTTTCAAATGTTGACTATTCAGACATTGATCATTTATTTTAAATTATGTTTTATCTTTGTACTATGCATTTGCTTTTAAATTTGCTTAAGAAACTGTAGGTCATCTAGCTTAGCTGTTTCTCTAAAGCTTTAATCTCCTTTGCAGTGGTCATCCTTTAAGTTTCTATAAACATTTTCCTTGCCAGGGACTGCACCACTTCCATAGGCAGCTCAGGTCAATTCAGGACAAGTTTGGAAAAAGCAATCCTGTCTTATGACAGTGCTGAAATTTGTTCCTGAGCTTCCAGCCCTTAAAACTAGCTTTACTACTTGAAATTTTACAAGTCCTTGTTCACATGGCAATCATTCAGATTTTGTAAAGTGATGAGGACTTCCCTTGTTTTCTTCTTAGGCTAACATTCTCAGGGATTTTTGATATTCTCAAGAATCTGGTTTTAATGCATGTTACACTCATAGTCTACCTTCTTTCCTCTCCTCTTTTATCCTCCCTTCTTTCAGTTGATCCTCTCTAAACATGTATCCTCAATCTACTTTAAACTTTATGCAGGAAACTGGATATAGTATTTCACATTATCTATATTTCACCCTAATTTTGGCTTTGGAGCTCCTTTACATTTTGGGTGTCCTCATCTTAACTCATTTTGAACCTGCTATTGACTAAAGCCTAGTGGCACTTTTTCTCAGCATTGAAAAGCTTAGCTGTTCTTTATCAGCTTATGTTATCAGCTAGTATAGCTAGCAGCTAGTAGAAAAATGTTCTTCTACATGCTTTCACTATCATTTGATGGCAAACAGTGGAAAGAAAAACATGTAAATTTTGCTTTAGTGAATTGGTACCAGATAGGCATTATGCTCAAAGATTTGGAGAAGGGACTAAAATAAAGCTAATGGCCAAAGCTAAGTTTCTAGGTAATTTATTAATTCAGGCTTAATTATACTTTTTTATGTCTTCAAACTGTGCCTTCGTCTCATCTGTTCTTGACATCTGTATTTCTGCTTCCAGGAAGAGTTTGACGTAAGAGCAAGAAAAGGCATAGGTCCCAGGTATTTGGGATCTAGAAGATCAGATTTCTTAGCTTTTTGGAAACTGGATCTAAAATTCTGTGTACAGTTAGAAATCATTTCTGTTGTTGTTATCGCTGAAGTCAGTGATAGAAAATATGCATATTATCCCAATGGATTTCTGCCCATGGCTATTTCTCAATAATTATAGATCTACACAAATAATGTTTCCTTAGTCCTTTTCTTTTTGGAAGGATAATATGACATCAAACTGATCCCTACTCACTTCTTCCAGTCCCTTCATCAGGAGTGTTCAGACCTCTGAACAATTCCACACACAATCATGTTTGTTTGGCATTTCTCATGCTGTTCTCTTTCTCTGAAATGATCCGTAAACTTTTGCGTTCAGTATTCAAAATCTGTCTCAGCCTTACCTTGATATTTTCAATTGTAGATGAACTGCTTTTTCTTCTTATCACATTCTTTAAAAATATACATTTACTCCACCTACCTACATTTTTAATCTACACATTTCATCACCTTTTAAATTTATATGCTTTATGTTTGTCTTCTGTACTACAAGCACCTTAAGAACATAAGTCTTTTATAATAAAGTATATAGAAATAGTGTTCAAAAAAATGTTTGTCAAAGTTATTTGTGTGTGTATGTAAAATGTGACAGATACAGACAGATATAAATCTTTGTTAAAAAATTTTCTACACAAAAAATTAGTAGGCAGTTATTGTAGGTAACTTTAGTTCTCTTAAACATGACTGAATTTATGCACCATTTTCACATTTATTAACTGTCACCTGAAATTCCTATTTATTATCATTGTCTTCCAGATGGCACTAGGCATCACAGTATTTTTGAAAATAAAAAGTATTCATATTTAGAGCTGACAGCAATTTGATTTCTTTGGAAACATTTACTATAATTTAGAATCAGCTGTTACTTACATCACAAATTTAATTATGCCATAAAAGTTATAAAAAGGATTGTAAAACTGAGATGGGAATTGACATTGTTTTTATTTGAACATGAACATGTATTTATGAAGGACATTAGAAAGCTGAGTCCTTTATTCTGGCCTGAACAACTCTGAAAGAATTGTAATGATCAGCAGGAACAGGTGATGTGGAAAATCTACCTGTAAGCTTTGTCTTTTGTCTGTCCTTTCCCATCTCTTTGTAAACTAGGTTTTCCAGAATTAGGGGGAAGCAGGATTGTTGTTAGTTAGAAATGGACCAGGTAAATGGCCATTCTAAGTATTTCTTTGAGGGGTGAGTGTTTATTCAGAATTTTCCATGTTATTTGTTTCTATGTTTTTTATTTTACCTTCACTATTAATTACTATATTCCATACAATCCCATAGTGGAGGATATAACATATACTTTATCTCTTTTGAATTTATGGCATTCTTTTTTAGCAATGAAAAATGGATGAAAATAAAGATACTGATTCAAAAGAAAGTGGAGAATATGAAGATGACTTTGAAAAGGATCTGGAATGGTTAATTAATGAAAAAGAAAAAAGTGATGGCAGCATACTAGAGGTATATGTAAATTATAACAGCATTCATAATAATCACATTTTAACAAGGTGCTTTGTATTCTTGAAGTTTCACATATACTATGTCATCTAAAGCTCACAAAATTCCTTTGATGTGCACAGAACAAGTATTCTACCTATCTTAAGGTGAAAATTTAAATGTTATAGAGGCATAGAATTTAAATATTATATGCTAAGGCATAGGGCTTATTAGTCACAATTTGCTAATTAGAGGAATGACTAATGGAGCTAATTATAGAATTGCACTTTTATCAACACAAAATTACATTTAAAATTTATAATGTATATAATATAAATTAATAAAATTTACTACATTATATAATATAAACAAGGGTGAAATCATAGAGTAGTATTTTTAATATAAATGAAATATAATGCAAATCCTCAAGAAACTTTCAGCTGATAATTGAAATCTTAAAGTGAATTAGCTCTTCACCAGAAAGAATGTAGAGAAAAAGTAAAGCATCAAATACAGTCACTGGAATACTTGTAGGAAAAAGTAGATTTATTACACATGATCACATACTATTTATCAGACATATAAAAAGGAAAGAGAAGAAAATGAATCAGTTCCTTGATAATGGAAGATTCTTTTTCTCTTTAGACACAACATCAATTTATCTATCTCTATATATGCATATACACACATATATACACAAGTATACATTGTAAGAAGATGTGCACACACACAACATATATGTGCACATCTGTTTACGATGTATACTCATGTATGTATGCATTTACACATAATTTTAGATATTATTGATGTCAATGCTTGGAGGAGTAATGATAAAAGGACTATGACTGGTATATGGAGGGATGACTGTAGAGGGACAGTGATTAGAGCAATTGCAGCGCAGGCAGACTTCACAGAGTTAAAGAAAACATAGGGAAATGAAGACAATAGATTTTATATTGCAAACTTCTCAATTCTGTCTTGCTTATGCAATGGAAACCACCAGTGGAATAACCTTTGAAAAAGGCATCAATCAAGTGAACATTGTCTACAATGACTTTTAAATGAGAGTTTTATGCATCATTGGCCAAAAATGATCAAATGAATCGAGGCAGTGTAGATACTGGAGTAGACACCCAGATTATAAGATTGAGCCAAGGTCTTCTGATTGGAAGGGAGTGATATCCAAAGCACAGAGACAGAATTAGACAAGTGATGATGATTTATTGATTATTTCTTTATTCATTTCAACAAATATCAGTTCTTAATTACCATGCATCATAGATTGTTCTAGGTTGTTCAGAATACTTTCCAAAGAAAGTTATCTCATGAATCTAACTCATTCCTATGGATGCTTATAATCACTTCTTTTGAGGCTGGTAGAAAAACATGGATGATAGAGCTAGATGCAGGGATGAGGAATCAGGGAATTTTTTTTTATAGAAAGTGGCCTCTTTTTAAATGTAGTGTATTTTAAAAAGAAAAAAAGTAAAAGCTAAAGAGAATTGAGAAACAGATTAAAAGGAATTAATTTGAGAATCAAATAAACGCAAAAAGAACCATTGCAATGCAAAGATCTTAGTTATTTGGTATTAATTTTAACAGACCAGGTTTGTTTCTTGGGCATCTAGCAAAATTGTACAATTTAGAAAGATGAGGCTGTCAGAAGGATGTGAGCAAATAAGAGAATTTTAAGTAGCTGAAGAAAGCAGTAGCTCCCATAGGACTTCTTAGGAGGGAGAGAATTATCTGAAAAACAGAAAAAAATTAATTATTAGGATTAAAATGTTTGAGACATGGGGATATATGTAGGAGACATGCTGGGTAAGAAGTCCTTAAGTACAAAGTAAGATTTTGTGATAATCCTGGCTTATGACTTCGTTTGGAATTTAAAAATAAAGTTGGCCCTGGCCCTCCCTGGTGGCGCAGCGGGTTAATGCACTGCAAAAGAAGCTTAAGCCACTTCCCCATGAGTTCGATTCCCACCTGCCCCAGAGGAGCCCACATGGTTTGGCAGACCTCTCCTGGCTGGTGCACCCGCTGCTCCCTTCAGCCCTGTACTTCGTTGATCTGCCTGTTCTGCTCCCCACTCTGTCCCTGGTGAATTCTCTCACGCTCCGCATCTCTGGCCTGTACCCCAGTTCTGTATGAATAAATAAATAAATCTTTAAAAAATAAATAAATAAATAAATAAATAAAGTTGGCCCATGGTCTGTGATGGTGTTTAGCATAGGGTTTTGGAACTGCTGAGGAAAATCTGCTACAGATGTAATATTTTACCTGGAATTTGGATATAGGTTCAGCAAAAAAATAGCAACAATAATGAAAAGATTGTAAGAACCTCAAAATGATAAAGGTTTAATGAAAGACCTACAATGCTTTTGGCGGGGAAAGATACTTTTTTGAGAAAACAAACAAAACATTTAAAAAATTCTTATGAAAATGTAAAGAACTGTTTTTTAGAGATTATCTAAGTAATATAGATATTTATAATTACCATTTCATACATTAACATAAAAAAATTTAAATTATTGGTTAGCACTTAGCAACCAATAATTTGTATTTGGGTTGTCATAAATAGAATGTTATGGGTAAAGTAGGAACAAGAAAGGTGTACATTTTTTCATTCATAAAGTAAATTACAAATCATTTTAGATTGTCTACCTATGGACACACATTTGGACAATCTCAATTTTTACTGAAAAATACCTCGTATCTGGTTTTTTTTTTTTCTTTTCTTAAGATGGCTTGTGGGAATGAAGAAACTATTAACCAGGAATCAAAAGAGAACAGACCAGAAACAGATCATACAGAACAGCTTTCCAATCCTGACAACTCTTTGACAGATGGTATTTCATCAAGAAAAAATGACTTCATTTCTGTACCCAGTAGTCAACCTTTGGATCCCATATCAGATTCAGACAGTGAAAACTCTTTCCAGGAATCCAAACTAGAAATTCAGAAAGACCTGGAAGAGGATGAGGATGATGAATTAAGGAGATATGTTATGGAGAAAATCATACAAGCCAACAAGCTTCTACAGAGTGAAGAACCCATAAATGATAAAAGAGAGCGAAAACTTAAGTTCAAGGACAAGTTAGTTGATTTGGAAGTTCCCCCACTGGAAGAGACTGATACTTACAAAAATTATTTGGAAAATGAAAGTAATATGTCTGGCAAACTCTCAGAGTTATGTATTTCCAATGAATTTGGGCAAGAAAATGTGCTACTATCTTTTACTGATGGAAGTTGTGAAGAAAACAAGGATGGGAAGATACTGGTAGAGAGAGATGGAAAGTTTGAACTTTTGAACCTACAAGACATAGAGAGTCAGGGATCTTTGCCTCCCATTAATAATGCTAATAGTACAGAAAATGAACCTCAGCAGGTGTCACCCCTACCTTCCAACTCACTTGGCAACAGCGTCAAGAAAGAAGAGCCTGTTCAGAAGACTCATGCTGTCACTCCCTCATCAACAGAAGAGCCACTGGCTCATGTCTCTCAGTCAACCCCCAATTCCAGGATCCGTCCAGACTCAGCTACCAACTCAGATCAAAGTAAGGGCAATGGGAAATCTACTCTTAGGCTACAGTCTGCTTGTATATCTCCAGTGAAGTCAACATATTGTCTTTCCCCTCGACAGAAAGAACTTCAAAAAAGACTAGAACAAAAGAGAGAAAAACTAAAGAGAGAGGTAAGCATTTAAGTAGACTTTATATTGAAAAGGAGTATGTTTCATGTTTTATAAATATAGTAAGTATTGAAATAGTTCTTCAAAGTATTGGGTGCATTGGGTTGCTTTTGCTGTTATTAGACGAAGTAGGTAATGTTACAAATTTGTATTTAAGGAACAAATACCATGATTACTTTGGTCCTTTCTTGTAAGGATTCCAGAGCATAGTAATAACCAATCTGTGTTAGGGCTTGAGGAGGTCTCAGTGATGAAATTCATCCTTTCATTTGAAAATGAAGCTCAGAGAAGCTAAGTGACCACTAAAGTAATCCTAATGAGCTAGGTGAAAATAAGATATCTGATGAACAAATGATGTCACATTTTTTGGTGGGGGAGGAGTTTAGGGGGCAATAGATAAAAAAAACTTGGGTTATTATTCCTTGACTTATATGTGAGTGTTTTCTATGGAGCTGTCATTAGCAGAAAAAAGTGAACAATGAAGTTAGTAGAACATGTAACCTGGAAAACACTCAGACAAAATTTAAAAGAGTACAAACTTAAAACTTTTACTTTTAAAGGGGCCCTCCCTAGTGGCACAGCAGGTTAAAGCACAGCATGAAGAAGCTAATGCCACTTCAGCCTGAGTTTGATTCCTGCCCCGTGACCCACATGGTGCAGCAGACCTCTCCTGACCTGCCCACTGCTCCCCTCAGCAGTGTACTTTGTCAGTCAGCCTGTTTTGCTCCCCACTCTGTCTCTTGTGAATTCTCTCACTGCCCCTGCAACTCTGGCCTATACCCCAATTCTGTATGCATAAATAAATAAATCTTTAATTTTTTTTTTTTACTTTTATGTGGCTTCCAAAATCTGAGCTCTAGCAGTCATACTCAAGTTTACTTGATGCAGTGTATAATAGTACTGAAAAGAATCTGTGAACTCTGAACTTCATGACAAAAAATTTTGTTGTAATGATGAAATATAGTTTACTATACACACATGAACATATATTATACACATGTAATATATTTCTGTAATATAGCTTGGTGCTGTTTCTACTATGGCTGCTCCTTTGCTTCCAGTAACTATTTTATAGTTTCCTTGTAACAAGTTTAATTACCTTGTTTTTATATTAGCTTAATTTTATAACAGTAGTATAATTCAGATAAAAAGTTCATTTTGTTCATATAGTTAACTAAAAGCCTAAATGTTTTTCTTCTAGTAAAATGTTACCTTATGAATATAAACACTAGTTGAAAAATATTTTTAAATATCTTTGTGAAAAAATTCTAACACATATAAAGATACAACTAACTACTATGTTCCTATTACCCACATACAAAAGTTTAAAATTTTGGCCTCTTTGCTTTATCTCTCTTTTTTTGGCTGAAACATTTTTTAAGCGAGTCCTGGAAGCACTTCGTTATTCACCTGTACACTTCAATATATGTTATCATTTATAATGACAATTTCCATCCAACTAAAACATTTAGCAATATGTAAATGTTTTAAGACATTTATAGGGCTTTATAGATACCTCTGTGCTTCTAGGATTTTTATCTGTTTTCTCTTCTGCTTAGTTACAATTTGAGGAATTAATGCCCAAACTGGGAAATTCAGGAAAGAGCTGATGAAATACTGAACAACATGTATGTATTGTACATCTGTGTAATTGCAGACTGTCTCTACAGTGTCATTTAACTGTAAAATGATTTTTTCCTGAGTAAACTAGAGTCTCTGTTTTTATTGTTGTTTTTAAAGATTTATTTATTTATGCATACAGAACTGGGGTACAGGCCAGAGGTGCAGGGGCGGTGAGAGGCTTCACCAGAGACAGAGTGGAGAGCAGAACAGGCAGATGGACGAAGTACACTGCTGAAGGGAGCAGCGGGCGGGTCAGGGGAGGTCTGCCACGCCATGTGGTCACCTCCGGGGCAGGCGGGAATCGAACTCATGCGGAAGCGACTTTAGCTTCTCAGTGCTGTGCTTTAACCTGCTGCGCCACCAGGGAGGGCCTAGAATCTCTGTTTTTAAAGAAGTCCTAGTTTTTAGATGGAAAATTTTAAAGAGAATTCTTAAATCTGAAATCATATTTCTCTACTCATTTACCTTCTTATACACTTTCATTAATCTTTAGCATTAATGTCTTGGGGTATTATTTCCACCAGGAAGAACAACGAAAAATAGAAGAAGAAAAAGAAAAGAGAAAAGAGAATGATATGGTTTTTAAAGCATGGTTGCAAAAGAAAAGGGAGCAGGTAATAGAAATGAGGAGAATCCAGCGAGCAAAGCAAATGGAAGACATGAATAATAGAGTAAGTTAAACATCTCTGAAAATTAATTTCATTCAGATACAAAGCTGAATTTATTTACAGAAGGGAATCAGAATATCAGACCAAGAACCTACACCATAATATATGACAAAACAATCTACCCCTTGAATCTTTACTGAATATACCTTAGAGATTATTTTATATTGGTATGTAAGTTGGGTGTTTAAATTATTACATAGTTTTCTGTTGTATGGATGGGTATTAATTTATCTGATCATTTCCTTATTAACACTGAAGCTTTTCTAATCTTTTGGTACTACAAACAATGCTACCTAAATTATCATGGGTGCATATTAATTTGCAAATGTAAAAGTTTAAATGGAGGATGTATTTGAAGAGGCAGAATTACTCTGTACTTCTAAAAAATTTGAGATAATACTGCCAAGTTACTGCCTCAGAGAGATGCCACTTTATATTCTCAACAGTACCTGAGAGTACCTCTACCCCCTACATCCTCATTAATATGTGTACTTTAAAATGTTTTTATTTTTACTAATCTGAAAGGTGGAAATGTTGATTGTAGCGTTATTATCAGATTGAACATTTATGAATTTTTCATAATGCCTTTGTTTACATTTTATTCTTTTTGATGTATGGAAACATTTTATGCATTATGAAAAACAGTTCTTTGAGAGATGTATGGCATTAAAAGGTTCCTTTTTATGCAGAAAATTTTATATGGCTAGATTTATAAAACCATACAATTTCTGAACATTTTTAAAATAAGTTAAAGCACACTATAATCTACATTTAATTTCTTAGCAAATTTTATCAGTTTCTCTTCAAAGTAATACTGAATTCCATAAATCCAAACCACTGTTTTATATACCTAATTTGTTACAAAAATCTAATAACTGTTCTCCTTTCTTCCCCCTTGCCTCTTTCATCCGGAGTCTATCTTCCATATAGCAGCCAGTGCTGCTTCTAAAATGTAGAATAGCCCCTGTCACTTATGCTTAGAAACCTGCAGTGGCATCTCATCTCAGAATAAAATCCAAAGTTCCTGATATAACCTACAAAGTTGTACATTAATGACTTCTTCTTAAGCCACTTTTGCTACAGTTTTACTTTTATTTTTTTATTTATTAAGCCTTCTAAACAATTCATTCTCAGATCCTTTTTCCTCACTGTTACTGTTGCTCAATATACTCTTTCTACAGATATTGTATAACTTGCTCCCTCATTGTCTACATATCCTTTCTCCTTACCTCTTTATCGTTGTCTACTTTTTTTTTTCTTTTTGAACCTGATAATCAGTAAATTATTTTCATCTCTTCATCTTGGACAGCACTACCCCATTCAACTTTGTGTGATGATGGAAATGCTCTATATATTTGTGATGTTCTTCATCTACAACATGGGTATTAAACCCTTGAGATATAGCTAATATGACTGGGCTATGAGTTTTAAATTTTATTTAAGTAACACATGTGGCTTACAGCTATTGTACTACTGGTAGCGAATGTAGAAGAGGGAAACATTTTATTTTTCATTGCTCTCAGTACCTATAGATATGGTATGTAGTAGATATTCTTATAAATACCTGTTTGAGACATCTATCAATCCTGAATCCTGACTCTGGTCAGGATATATAATTCCAGACTGAACACATTTTAGTCATCTTGGACTTCCATGTGTTTAGCAATAATCTTTTAGGTCCATGAGCCCTCTTCACAAAGCTTAACATTGTCCATCAGAAATTCTATGTTATATAAATTTTTAAGTTAGACTGGAACATACCTGGCAATGTGGGTTACAGATAAAAGGAAATGCAAGTTATAGATTTTCTTTGTTATAGAGCTCATATTTGAGGGAAAATATTACATGAGTGCTACCTTTTATATGCTAACCAAGACATCCATAAAGTCACATTTTTCATGGCTAAAAGGCCCCAAATCTGTCCCTTTATTCTCTTCATTTTTCCAAGTTGAAGTTGAAGAGCTTTTTCAACTTTTGAAGAGTCCCTGAAGATAGCTTCATTCATAAAGTTTGAAGAACCACACGACAATCTATTTCTGTTTTTTTTCTTATTACAAAAATCTTCATGATTGTCATCCACATGAAGAAATTTTTAAGGTTGAAAATCCTCATGGTCACTCTTCATAAAAATACTGTTTTGGACATAGATCGGGCGGTTAAATGTTTTTAAAAACAAAGATGGAATTTAAAAGAAAACATGAATAATTTGTGTTGATCATTAATTTTTAAATGGTACTCCATGGAACTCCTTCAGGAATTGCTACCAAGATTTCAGCTTCAGTCATACAACCTATCCCCAACTTTCCTTCAACTCTGCTGTTTGTGTGTCCAAAGTTATTGTCAAAACACTCCACTCTGAATTCAGTTTCCATATCATTCCATGTAGACCTCCTTCACTGCTACTTCAGTAAGACTTGTGAAAGAGGCAGGTCATGAGTTCAGTGATGAATTTTCTATCAAGGGTAATCAGTGTTGCTGATTTAAAGGGGATGTGTTTGAGGTGGATACTCGAAATGCAGTTGATGATGTTGGCATTATGAAAAATTGATGTCAGTCTTGTGTTCTATAGGCATAAATGTGGGGGTCTAAAAATAGTAGTTTCATTTTACTAAAATAAAGGAAAAATTGTTCTTGTAATTAGCAGGAGAACAGAGATCCACAACTAGCTTTTCGATTATGGCTTAAAAAGAAGCATGAAGAACACTTAAAAGAAAGAAAGACAGAGGAGCTTCGAAAGCAAGAGGAATGCTTATTTTTCCTTAAAGGAGCAGAGGGCCGTGAAAGAGCCTTTAAGCAGTAAGTCAAAGGCAGGTTATTTTCCTTCCTCCTCGTCATTATGGAGTTATATAATCAATAAAACCTAAAAAAAAAAAAAGTTTTCTCTCACTTTACATACCTATTCAATGTTAAATACATAGTGGCTGTACTATATTGTCTTCAAGATGATTTCAACCCAAAATTTGTTTCCCATGGATCTGGCATGATAATCCTTGAGTCTACCATTTGTTAGTTGATTTATTAATTTTTTAGAGCAATGTGTCAGAGATTGATTATAATTTCTCTTCATAGTCTTCAAAAATATATAAAGAGTTGCATTTACTGAGAAATATTTTCTGTAAAGAAAGGCAGTCAGGCTGTGGAAGATTTGTATAAACTAAGTAAAAAGTATTTGGACAAATTTTGTACAATGTAAGTAAAATTTAACTCAAATCTTATCTCTTTTCAGTTACCTAGATAAGACTATATTATGTCACTAATTCTGAGTCAACATACTTTTGTCAGCAAACCCTAGTGAATATTAAGTTGTTATTAGATATTCATTTGTCTTTTTTGCTCTTTTTTTTCCCCTTTGAGTCTTTATTCCGATCTTTCCTTTTTTTTTTTTTTTTAAATAGCCCTTTTATAATAACATAAGCAGTAAAGGTGCATTGTAGATATTGAGATGGGAAGTCCTATTTTTATTACCTAGGAATCACTGCTGTGATTAACTTAGTGCATGATTCTGTATATTTCTCTGTACTTTTATTTACAACTTTAAAGTACAGTTGAGATAACAATGGTTATATTGTTTCGTAATCTGCTTACTTTCATAGTGACCCCATCCCGCAACCACTTTTGCCCAGGTATGACTATAATTTTGTTCAAACTGGCATCCAATTCTGGATCACAACATTAGGTTTCTTGTCTCTCTTATTGGAAATAATTTATTTATGAAAAAATTATATAGACACATACCACATACATATTTCTATACCAAATATGCCTGCATAGTTGTTTTCTGAGTAAGGAAAAAGCACTTTATAGACTTAAATTTGTTAGAATATGAACTTTTCACCTTGTTTTTTATTTTTCCATCTTAAGGAAGAACTATTCTTTTACTGAAAAGCAAGGCAACATTCCTATATGCTGCTATTTTTAACCTGAAGTAATAATTTAAGTATAGTTGCAAAAAACAAGTTGATGTTGATCTATTAAATACCACTGTTTAGAAAACCATTTTTCCCCAAAAATGACAATAGCTATAGCTCATGTAAAGTATGTTGGCAGTTTCTTTGTAAGACAAAATTTGAAAAATGGGTTCTTTTTGTGTGAGCCTCGTATATAAATGTGAAATCTTTATTTAATACTTAACTAATTTGTGTTAATCTCAGTATTTCATCATAAAGGGAATTTAACTATCTAGTGTATTAACTTGATAGCATGAAGAATATTCAGGTTGATCTGATCATGTTTCTTTCTATAGGTGGCTAAGAAGGAAACGGATAGAAAAACTAGCAGAGCAACAAGCAGCCAAAGAAAGAACTAGACAGCTCCAGCTTGAAGCAAAGCGTGCTAAACAGTTTCAGAACCACCTATATATGTCAGAAGCCAAATCTTTCCGTTTTACTGATCCTTACAACTGAAGGTATCTATTAAATACTTCATATGGAAGATGCTAGTCAAAATTTTTTATATTATTTATGGCCCATGTACTTTTGTCATACTCTAAATTATGGAAGTAGTATTTATAGCTTGTTGATGTTGAAAGGGAATTTTATCTTTAATACTAAAACAAAATAAATTTCTTTTCTCTAAATTTTGTAATGTTATACTATCTCTAAGTACATTGAATGAACCCTATAGTCCTTTACTTTTAAATTATTTTAACATTTCTAGCTGGCAAAAAACACAAAAAGGAACAGATTTTTATTCTTAGTCTTATTGTCACTTAAAAAAATTGCAATAGAATATAAACAGGATTGACTTCTTAAAACAAGCCTGGTTCATGGCCCTAGACTTGATTAGCTGTGGCAAGCTAAGCAATAGGGCAGGTATACTTCCATGTTTTATTTTTTTTAAAGATAAAATCATATGTGATACCATCATACATGTTAGAAAACTCTTATGAGAATTTATAATGTGCCTTGTATTCTTTGAATAATTTGATATAATCTTTATAACTTTAGTCTTATTTCGCAGATGAGAAAACTATAGAGGTGAGCAGTTCACTCTGATCTCTATCACTGCAAAATCCTTTCTTTTAGGAATCTTACATACATTTGAAACAATGTATTTTAAACAGGAATCTGTTGTGTACAGGAACAGCAACTTTGACATGTCTAGAACTTTTAAGGAGTGGAGGAGAAAGTTAAACATAAATGATTAGTAATATCATTTAGTAATACTGTCTTCCAATCCATAAACACAGATCACTTCTTCATTAATGCAGCAATGTTTTGGAATTTCAGTGTATCAGTCTTTCCCTTCTTTGTAAGCAGGAATTGTTTTTTTCATTTCTTTTTGTGTTGTCAACTCAAACCACAAACATGAATTATTTTTGTGTATTGATGTATCCTGCAGATTTGCTGAAATTGTAAGTGCAAATAGATTTTTTTATTCCTTGAATTTGATTATTTCATGTAAATACAATATTTGTCCCTTTATGTCTTTTTTCATTGGTGGTAATGGTTTATGTTACAGCCTATATCTGATTTTCATTCCTTTTTAGGAATTAATATTCTATTGGATGTATATATCACATTCTGTTTATCTATTTATCTATCAAAGGCACCAGGGGTACCTTTTGGCTATTATGAAAAACTCTGCTGTGAACTTTGGTATATGATTATTTGAATTTCTGCTTTCACTTCTTTTATGTATCAACCTCAAAGTAAAATTTTTCAGTTATTTGGTAATTTTAACTTTTTTGGAACTGCCACAGATCTTCAGTAGTAGTTATAACCTTTTTGCCTTTCACTGGCAAGGCACAGGGTTCCATTTTCATCACTTTCTTATCAACACTTGTTATTTTGCTTTCCTTAATAGCAGCGGTCTTTATGGGCATGAAGTAATAGTGATTTGCATTTTTCTAATAGTGATGTGTAAGCATCTTTGGTGTGCTTATTGGCCATTGTATATCTATTTCTCCTGTATGTGTCAAGTTGAATCCATTTCGAATATGGAATTCCCTGCACAAAGCCAACACGAAAACATGTTTTGCCAAATGAAGCACTTGTCAATGCAACTATAAAATATTTTTATTTTTCTAACATAAAGCATTTATTTTTAAAATAATTCCTTCACCCATAGTATTTCCATAGGCCTCTTTTATATCTCAGAAATTACCAAAAAGGGAAAGGGCAGTCTCTCCAGCCCTTCAGCTATTTTTAGAACATGGGTCAGAAAACTTTCTGTAAAGGACCACAAAACCTGTGGGAAAAAAAAATCCAGACAATGAATACGTGTGACTATAATATGAACCACAGCTGTAGTTTGCCAATTCTTGCCTTAGATTACCTGCTTATATAAAATAATAGTAAGATATATAATTCAGAGCCTAAAGGAAAGGCTGACTTTTCTTATCCTGAGATCTTTACTAAGAAACAGTAATCTGGAGTCCAGTACATGAAATATCTTTGCAGATATATATTACTGACATAGAGAATGAAGTAGAAAATGATCTGACTAGCAACAGAACCCCAGCTCCCAAATCATAGTGGCTTTTGGGTAATTAGCAAGTGCCTATAGCATGCCTCCAACATAACAATTGTTAAAGGACAGTAAGTTCTCCCTGGCAGTGATTACAGCAATTGAAAGTTATATTTTCATAGCTAGTATAGGGATGAAATCGTCCAATCTTTTTCTTTGCAGCAAGTAAGGTGGTTGGTGAAGACTCAGAAAATGGATTATCAGGTGAGCTTTCTGTACATGTATTTGGGTCCAAAATTCGTAAAACCTAAAGAAAATAAGAAGGGAATCATCACACATATGCAGTAGGAACTGTACAAGTCCTTTCTTTATACTATAAAGTTCTATTTCACAAATATATAATTACCATGAAAAAATAACATCTGAATGATGAATTTAATTAAAGAAGTATCCCTTTTCTTAAAAGGCTCTAAATTTAGCAATTATGTTTAGTGATTAGGTTAATGTTCTCTTATGAAAACGAAAAAACTTTCGGAAACATAGACCCTAACAGTTCTACGTTAGGTGATGTCAGTTTTTATCCTTAGCCAAAAATTACCCTCTACCCACTTCTTCAATCTTTCTTTCAACTGCTTGGAATCAGATTACTATCTTTTTTCTTCCACTGAAATGTTACTTCAAAGTTTTTGATAATTATGTATAGAACCAATGGCTTTCAGTGTCTTTTTTCTAATTTATATGCTTTATTTTATGTGAACAACTATGTTTTTGGTTCTTGGATTTCATGGACAAAATGCTCTACCATTTCTTCTACTCTAACTTTGCCAATTCTGAGATCCAAAATAGGAGGAACTCTTTGAGTTTAAAAAGTTTCCATTTAAAAGCAAGGATAACATGTCTGGCATATAGAATATCCTACAGGAATATACTTTTAAACTCTAAAAATATGTCCTAGTTGAAGTCTCAAAGCATAAAGGTATGTGAGGAAGGATTCAAGCATGGGCTCAGCATGGGCAATTTCTTTTGCCCAGAATTTGCAAAGAGCTGGGAAAGTATGGTGTTTCAGCAACTAGGGGTTTTTGAAAACATGAAGAATTCCAATGGAAAAAATCAACACTTATAGGCAGTAGCATGACAGCCAAGAAAGAGTAATGTCACAGAAGTCACGGGGGTTTTAAGAAAGGAATTTACCACTATGACAACAAATATGTATGACCTTTGTAAGAGCACTTTCTGAGACCAGTGGAGCTGGAAGTCTACTGGGATCAGTAATGGTGGGAATTAAGGATTGGATGATATGTAAGTACAAACAAGTATGGTCAATATGCTTGAGATTCTTGACTGTGAAGGGAAGATGAACAGACCATAACCAGAGAACTAAAGATAAGAGGTTTTTCTTTTTTAGATACTTGGGTATGTTTTTAGACCAAAAGGAAAGTGCCAATAGACAGAAGGGTTAACTACTGGGTGACGTCTGATGGGCTCGGAGAACATGATTTGGAGAGCACTGGAATATTTTTTGCAGTGGAAGAAGTGTATGTAAGGCTGGTTTGCCGTATAGGTTGGCTTCTAGATATCAAGTGGGACCTTGAGGGAGTATTTTTTGGTCACTGCCCTCCTTGTTCTGAGATTAGGAACCAAAGTCATTTGTTAAGTGCGACGTAATGCTTTCAATAAGTAGTTGAAATGATAAAGAACTTGGGTTTTCAGGGTACCCAAGAGAAGGTTGCAGCAGAAAAGCAACTAAGAATGGAGATATTACGGCAGGGAAAGAATCCAGAAGTGCGCTACTGAGATGAAGACAAAAATATAGGGATCTAGAGAATAAAAATTATAATGTGAACAAGAAACAGAGGTAATCAGAATGAAAGAATTGGAGCTAGAAAGAAAAGAAGTTGAGATAGGAGATTTCAGAACTGCTGAGTTGAAGTGGGATAGTTTTTAAAAGTGGAATAGTTCTGGTTAATATTAGGCCTTAGATGGCAAAGAGGAAGGAGATGTCAAAGTGTAATAGAGGTGATCCTGGCTGTGGTCCTAGTACTGTGAGACCACCGTATTTGATCGGGTACCTATATAAACCCTCAATTCACCCACAACTAATAGTATAGGTCTACCCTCACTGATTCTGCACTACACTACACTACACAGTAGTTTTCACAGCACAGTGAATTCAAGAAAATGATTATCAATGATTCACAGTGGCTAAAAATACAGACTTCTTTAAAAACAATTACAGCTTTTCTCTGGAGTGGAGTAATAATGTTCAGGAAAAATAGAGTTCAGAGGAGAAGATACTTTTCTCTAAGCTTGCAGGCTCCTCAGCATGAGAATCAGGGTTCCCTCTCACGTTTCCTAACTCCCGGTGCAAGCATTATAATCAGCCATCTTTCAGTAAAATGACAGTCTAGAGGTTTCATATATTACTATGACAAATATTTACCTTTTCAGCCATTTTTTCTGCTGGGGTGCTGCAGAATTCAACTGTTGATGGAATCTTTTTTTGACCATTCATGCCAACATTTCCAAGAAGATGAGAACTTATTGCTTTTGCCAACTTGTGATTTGTTAATGCGAGTTCTGCTGTGCTGTGAGGTTGTGTATTAGGGTAGTAAGTTTGCTCTCTTCCCCACTGCAAGGAAACTAAGAGCTCCTCCAATAATCTACAAAGAATACATACATACTGAACATTAATCACAGGATAAATTATAAAAATCAAGGATACTAAATAAGTGAGAAACATTTCTGACATCATACCGTATTTTTTTCCCTATCTTTCAGAGTTTAATAAATTAGAAGTTTGGTAAAGTAAGTTAAAGTATATAAAGCACTTAGCTAATTTTACATTATATCTGGAAATCACTTAACAAATAAGTACTTTTTAGTTTTCATTTTAGGGTAACTAAATTAAACTAAATTTAGGGTTACCATTTTAGGGTAGCTAAAACATATTAACATAGAAAGTAATACAGAACCACTGAATTGGTGTATTTACTAAGATACTCATTTGGTATTTTTTTCTTTAGACTTATGTTAACTAATTTTTTTGAATGATAAACCAACCCACTAATTTTGGCATAGAACCTATTGGACTATGATGTGTAAACCTCTATATAGTAGTGTATATAATTCACAAAAAGAAAGAGCTTTACATCTATACTCATGAGAGACATCAGTCTTTAGTTTTCTTGTGATGTCTGTCAGGTTTGGTATCAAGATAATGTTGGCCTCAGAAATGAGTTGGAAATTCTATTTCCTAGAAGAGCTTGTTTAAGTTTGGTTCTGCTTCTACCTCAGATGCTTGCCAGTACTAACTAGTCAATCCACCTATCGAATACAAGTAGAGTTTGCTTTACTAGAAGGTTTTTAACACAAATTTAATTGCTTTAATAGATAGGGCTATGCAGGTTATCTGTTCTTGTGTTATCAGATTTGTGTCTTTTAAGAAGTCTATCCATTTCATTTATCATATAGGTTGTAAATCAGTGGCAATGACCAGTTCATTATATACCCTTATTTTCTTTATGTCAACAGAATCTGCAGTGTCCTGCCCTCCTCCTCATCCTTGTAATGTGTATCTGTTTTCTTCTGATGATACTCCTAGTGGTTTCTTAAACTTGTTATTTCAAAGAAACAGCATTTGGCTTTCCATTTCATTCATTTCCACTCTCATCTTTACTATTTTCTTCCATTTGCTTAATTTGTTCCTTGTGTTTCTTAAGAAAGGTTACTGATGGGAGCTTCTTTTCTAAACTAAGTGCTAAAATCTATAGATTTCCCTCTAAACACTGCTTTAGTTGCTTCCCACAAAATCTGGTATTTGGATATATTGTTTATTCTTCTAATTTACCATTTGACCCCTATCGACTTGATTTATAATAAATCAGTTATAAAAAGAAGTTTCAAAAAGACCACTAATTCTGATAGTTCTAGAGCATATGGATATGAGCAAAGGCTGTTAATATAAGAGAAAGAATCCTCCTCATAAAGAGTTCCTTCCAAAGGAAAGCCTGGGTACTTTTTGGTTCTACCAAAAATCATACAAAATTGCTGTCAAATTATTTGCTATAATTATTCTCTTCTCAAGTAAGAATGTCAAAAGCATTTCTTCTATTTTTATATTCTTTCTTCCCTGGGCATCTATCTTAAAACGTTACTCCAAGTATATGCTCAGTAAATTAATAAGTGTATAAACACCAAAGAATTATCACAATAACAACACTTGCAGGAGAAATAGATTTCAGGATGTAAACAAGTGTCCTACTTTTGGGTAGATAACATTTCCTGACGAAACTGCTCCCGTTCACTCAGGAGATCTTGTATAGCGCTCTGGGCGTCGCGGTTCTGGCGCTGTAAAACTGCTCTGAAGTTGGTTAACTCGTCTGCCATAACTCTGGAAAAGAGTAAAGTCTGGCATATAAATTCTCTGGCACTAAAACATTTAATATATTATCTCTGTTACTGTCATTTTTAAAAGCATACAAATAAAATCTGGACTAGTATTTGATTTTTAAATCTATACCAAAACATTTAAAATGTCGCTAAGCTTAGAATTAAAGGGGCTCAACTAAAATTTTTTTTACAATATGACAGAGGAAACAACTGTTTAATTTTTCCTATACAGTCACGTTTAGAATACACTTCAATCTTACTTTAGATTGATCAAATTTTGAAAAAATAATAATTTTTTAAAATAGAAAATTTTAGAGAGAATAAATATGAGTATTTTCTACCACTCAATTATCTCTTTGCCCTTCTAAAACCATTAAGACATAGAAAGGCTTATATAAAAGCAAAACTAAGTCTGTCTTCCTGTCCAGCATCCACATTTCTCTTTATTTGTAGCCAGTACACATTCTTATACATTTTATTCAGAAAAAAATAATGCATGTAAACTAACATTCTGGCGAAATGTCTTAAAAAATTATCTATTTTAATGAAGTATATATTATTACACAATAATATGTAATATAATTTATTATGTATTATTGCATAATAATGTATAATATAATTTATATGCTACAGATATATATAGATATATAACAGATATAAAATATCTATTTTCTTTACAAAAAGGGATTATTTAATACAATTTTTTTTACACACTGCTTTTTTTTCCTTGAAAATTTATTTTGGTGATTTTTTTTCATATTAGCATGTAGGGAACTACCTTATAAAACTCCTTTTAAAGAAAAGGAGCTTAATATTTTCTTCTGATTGTATGTACCAGAATTTACTTAATCAGTTCTCCACTGATAGAATTAAAGCAAAATTTTAAGTATGTTTATTTAACTAAAAATCTGAAAACTAAAGTCTTGTATACCATAGTGATAATTATATAATTGTATTTTTTAAAATGGAAACGATTTTGACACTGAAAGATTAAATCAATGAAAATATCCATAATACTGAGTTTAATTTTTATTTATTGCCATAGAATATTACTATCAGAAGGGGGCCTCCCTGGAGGCCCAAGTCTTAAATTTTCTGTGCTGTCATGCTATCTCCAGCCACTGCGGCATGAATTCAATCTCAGCTAGGGAGATTGAACCCATGGTGACCCCTCCTGTCTTGCCTGCTGCTCCCCTCAGCAGTGATTTCAGTTGACTTGCCTGTTCTGCTCTCTACTCTGTCTCTGGTGAATCCTCTCACCCCCTGCACTTCTGGCCTATACCTATTACTTTAATGCATTAAAAAAAAAAAAAAGAATATTACTATCAGCATTGATCAGAATGTTAAAAAATACATATATCGCAATAATCTGTATAATATATGCATGATTGCCTCAAGCTGTTTGATGAGAATTAACTTTTACTTGCAGTCGATAAACAGCTCATTTCTTCAAATAGCACAATTATAAATCAAATTAAGGACTGAGAATAATCAATTATAAGAAAACATCACAGATATTAAGACATGAAGAAATATTTTTCTAAACATTTATTCATCCTAACCAGTGGTTCTCAAGATACAACCTGGAAACGTTTGGTGTTTTATTTTTATGAGGTATATCCAGATTACCAATTTCAAGTTATTAAGCATAGTATTTTTGGAGCAACTGACTAAATACTATAAATACACAGATAATGCCCAGGTCTTATTTTCCGGTCACTCAATTGGAAGGAGGGGATAAATATACCAAGAAGAAGCATAATTTTGGGCAGTTTCCCAAATGGCAATGTGTCTATGTGCCAGGATTAGGGCTCTAAAGCTTTTACCTGTTTGAGAGTAGCCTCGTTCAGTATGTCATACAAATGTATTTTAGAGGAAAAGGTTGGTAAGCTCTTCTATATAGTCAAAAAACTATGAGAACAGAGCAAAAATGACAAGTAATATTATCTCACTGAGAGGCAGTTTTGTGGCATTTTCCAAGTAGAAGATGGGTAAAAACAATTTAGTTTGGATTTTCTTGTGTTAGATGTCTGAGTTTACAGTTTTGTTTTAGTCTCAAACACCATAGTAGGAGTGATTTCTACTTTAGTTTAGTAACCAAGATTTCTGGAATGAGGGAGGATCTTTCTGATACCACTTTTCCATTTAAGGTGACTATAAAGATCCAGAGGCGGGTGAGTCCACAACTTAACAAATATATCCAGCCTGAGTCAGAAATTGTCCTCCACAATCTACTTTCTTGTGTTATAGGTCAAAAGCTGATAGTACAAAAAGTAGAAAATGAAATCTATTTAAAACAGAAAATACCTGCTTGCGAGGAATTTACTTCGCCACACATCACATTGTATTGACATGCGTTCTAGCTGTTCAGAAAGCTGAGCTGTGTTTCGACTTAGGGCTTCATTTTCTAAAATAAGTTGATTTTTTTCACGGGCTAGACGTTCAAAATGATACTGAAGATCATCCCCAACAGAAGCTACCAGCAACTTTTTTAACTCACGATTAACCTAGAAGAGAACATGCCAATACCACCAGCTTGAAGTAATGTCACTGAATTTAACATTAACAAAATGAATGAAAAAGAAACTTTCTCAAAGGAAATGAGGAAACTAAACCAAAATAAACCTAAGAAATATGACTGCAGAATTGAGGATATTAGAGGGAAGAGGTGAGAACAAATGTGGGAAGGGGCACAATGATCACTGATAAAGAACTGTGGGAGTGAGAAGGGTGAGTGTGGTATGCTGATGCATCTGACATGGTGTGACTAACTTCCTAAGTCATATACAGTATTGTAAAGGAATGTTACACCTTAATAAAGGGAAAAAAAGGAGAAATTGTTCTGTATAATTTGGATTTCTATCACCTAAATATCTGTATTAAAATGTGCTTTTAACTATTTAACTTTCATATTATATACAAATCATACTTATATACAGCTATAGCCACTGTGGTCATAAACTGACCATTTTATAGTAAGAGTATAAATCTTCACAGAAATTATAAAATGATTCTAGTAATTACTTTAAAGGCAAAAAAATCAGAAAATTAAACCAATACATTTTGCTAAAAAAGACAACAGAGAAAGTTAGTTTTTCTTAATCTTATTTCAACATTTAAAAATTAATTTCTTTGTACCCTAGAACTTTTACTTTCAAGAATTAATGCAAGGGAAGCACTTTAACATATCTATAAACATGGTTTTCATATTGCTATGGAAAACACAAAACATAAACGTCCAGTAACAGGTACTGGCACAGGTACAGCCACTGAAGAACATTATTGCTATTAATAATGGTACTGAAACAAAATTCTGTGACATGGGACAATGTTAATAAACCTTGAATGACATTCCCAGGATGATACATAATTTTCTAAGATGCAGACTTAGGAGGTCCAGAAGCAGTGCCCCCTGAAGCTATTAAAATTATTCTTACCTCAGTCTGTACTCGCAGCTGGTTTAAAAGACCTTCTTTTTCCTGAAGTAACCTTCTTTCAGAGGACTTGAGCTTTCCCAATATATTCTTTACCTCTGAGAGTTCCTTCCTTTGTTCTGTAGTTCCCTCCAATTGACCAAGGAGTTCTTTATGAAGTCCCAGAGACTTAACCTTTGCATTTTTGTTGGGGATATTATGGGTTATAGCAGCTTTGGGAACCAATAATCTTATAGCTTCGACTTCCACTGCTTTTTCAGTGTGAATTTTCCCTAGCTGAAGAACTCCTGGGCTCTCTGAGGGAACTGCTTTCTTTTGCGGACTCTTAAGGATGTGATGCTTTATGGGTTGGATTCCAGAAGTAACTTCAATAGATTTAGGTGGCTCTTCAGTTTCCATTCCATCTCCTGCTCCTCGGATTGGGGCTGAAGTAAGGGTGACTAAAAAAAGCAAAGAACATAAACTACTTACTAAAGAAAATTTAGGAAAATGCCTAGGTATGTATTATGCCTATACTTAGAATGACTGAATTTTAGAATATATTTAGAATTTATGTAAGAGGGATATACAAAATATAAATATTCTAAATTCAAGCAGGGGCAGTAGATACCTTGGTTCTTGAGTTGTGGCCCTAAAAATGTAATTTTCTAGGCAGAAGGAATGATAAGTTTTCTCAGGATAAAGTTAAAAAAAATAACTATGCGTCCTCCCTGTTGGTGTAGCACGTTAAAGCACAGCACTAAGAAGCTAAAGCCACTTCTGCATGAGTTTGATCCCTGCCTACATGCGTGGCAGATCTCTCCTGACCCGCCCTCTGCTCCCCTCAGTAGCGTGCTTTGTCAGTCAGCCTATTCTGCTCCCCACTTTATCTCTGGTGAAACCTCTCACTGGCCCTGCAACTCTTGTGTGTACTCCAGTCCTGTATGCATAAATAAATAATTCTTAAAAAAAAAAAAACAAAACAAAACAATTACCTGCCATAGTGTTCTATAGCAAGGGAAAAACCTAATAAGAATACTTTCCTTAGATAGAGTTTCTACTTTATATTTTTCTATTTTGCTAGTCTCATTTTCCATTTTGTGATTACATTATGCTTTCAAGGTAACATTATTTACAATTATATTAATTTAGATTGTAAGAGTCTGAAATTCCAATATTTCATTATAATGCTTTAGTGAACATTTTCATGCCTACAGATTTTTCTCAAGTGTTGCATTTCTTGAGTGCATTCTCAAAAATAGAATTAATGGGCCAGGGAACAATATGAATTGTCAAAATGTCTTAAAATAACTCTGCCAATTAATGACTAGATCTAATCCTTATGTCCTTATTTGTTTTTTAGGGGGGGTGGAAAGGGTGTTAAATATTTATAGTTTAATGTAGTACTTAAAAGTATTGCATGTAAACATGTAAAGTTTGAATGGTTTTGGAATAGTTAGCACTCAGTAAATAATAGTTCCTATTGTTCTTATTATCCTTTAAAAATTCTCTAATAAATTTGGATTCTATTTAAGGAGTGAAAGAAAGCTTAATAATTTAATTATTTAATAATTAAATTTAATAATTTAATAATTTAAAAATTTAATAATTTAATTTTATTAAATGTAATTCTGACTTTTACTTCTTTATGGTAAAATCTTGTAAAATTTCATCACTAGATTTCAGGACTATTTTTCCATTTAACAGATTATTTTGGGGCAATTTTTCTTATGTATATAGCAATATATTGCTATATATAATCTTCAGTTATGTCAATTATTAGGAGGTAAAAATACACTTGGGGTATAATTAATGTGTTCTACTTTGCAGAACATTTAAATTACAATAGGACACCTCATCATTTCTACATATTAAATGTATACCAAAACATCCCTTGGATCTTAAGAGTGAGACTAGTAGATGAACAAAGGAATACTTCAAAGAGTGAACTAAAGGGTTTGGTATGTTAGTTCATGCTGTAGAACATTTACTAAAGAATTTACACTGTTCCCATGTTCTTAAAATTTGCTTTTAAGTTTGCCTCATCCTCTTTAATATAAATTAATCTTGTTGCTAAAATCTTCTGGCACTTACAAAGCAATGTAGAAAAATTTATTTACTACATGTTAATAAAAATAATAATAATAAAAAAGAGGCCACTGAAAAATAAGAGGCAGACATGATACTCCATTGTAGTGAAATAGGATTTCTAGCAAAGTTAGAACATTTTGAGTCATACGTAATGGAGATTCAGAAAAATCACAAGATGGTGAATGCTATATTTTTAAGTCAATGAAACATTAATGGATATTTAACAGATAACTCTTTTCAAAGAAACTATTTTGGTTCAACTTCAGTTTCCTCAACTTTATTGACACTGTTTTACTTACTCAAGTGGTTATGAGTACCCAAGCTGCACTACCTCTCCCATGGGAGCACCTTCTCTGTCACAACTGGACTTCTATTGTAGCTAAGGGCATGGGCAAGCAGGCAGTGGAGCCGGGACTCTACTTTTTCTCACCCAGTAACTTACCTTTCATAATTCTATTTTCCTTGTGACATACACTGAAATCTTTATTACATATGCACAAGGTACAATTCAGCACACATGATGAACCTTTACTTCACCTCAAGTGAGAGGGCAAAGACTTATGGCACCAACCCATAATTACGAGAAATGTCTAAGCAAAACATCTACTCCTATTCTCCACTCTTTGAAGGAAATAAAAAAAATTTATAAAATAACCACTTAATTTCTCCCTCCCTTACCTATCATTAATTCCTAACAGTTATGACTTGACAACCTTTTCAGAATATATGCAGATTCAGTTATAAAACAAACAAATTAGGGTTTGTTGCCTCATAATTAAAAATCAATAGTTTTTTAATTGTCAACATTACTGATAAAGTTTTGTCAGTTACTTTTACATGCTTTGAAGGGAAACAAACTAATTCAGAAATTTTACAAATGGTGAGTTTAAGAGTCCGACTTAAATGTTTACCGACATGGAATCCAAACATTCTTTTGTCACAGGTTTCACGAATAGGGATTCCTTGTCAAAAGAGTGTGGGCAATTCCAAAATGCTCTCTTTGGAATTTCTCTGAGTACATTAATATATTAAAGGTCCTGAGAGGTTCTATAGTGCAGCTTTCCATCAATCTTGCATTTCCAAAATAGACCTGCCCATGGAATCCTTTTTCACCTAACATTCTATAGGACTAATGTTAAAATTTAGACTATTTTTGGGAATTATTATTTCAGTGTTCCACACTTCTCTACTCCACCTACTTTCACTAAACTGTTTCAGCTGAATACCTTTAATTTTAATTTTGATATTATACCCAAGAAAAATTTTGGATTCAAAATCTAATTTTTGAATTGCTATTGTTCTTTTTTTTCCTCTCCATATTTTCCTTTCAGAAACAGCCCTAACAGCAATGGCAAAGCCCTTTCATGATGACAGTATTATTCAGATGTCAGCTGAGGAAATGTGGTCACTGTGAGATAATGTTGTTCCTCAGGTTGTTACAGGAAGTGCAGCAACTGACAGATGTCAACCATGACAAGTGCACATATTGTAGGCCATCTAAGTAACTTCTTCACTAATAACAAGTAACATTATATTAGGTAGGAATAGGACTGTTAGCTGAATTACCTTCCTTATTATAAAATTAAGATTAAATGAAATAATATATGTGGAAGTGTTTTATACCTCTACAAACCTCATTGCCTTACTACAAACAAGTAGTAATAAATAGTAAAAAAAATCAATTTCATAGAGGCCTTACAATAACTAACTCTTAATCACTAATGATGCGGCATTTAGTTTTTGCTTTTCGCCAAGCACCAGGCTAATTGCTTTCACATTAGTTGTCATTTAATTGCTCTTATTTCCCATTAACCTCCCTTTTATTTCTATCAGAATAATATCTGCTTGGCTTGTTTTAATAACATAAAAGCCTTCTGGTGACTATGAAATGATGCCACATACAGATGAATTAAGTTCAACTAAATATTTATCAACATGGTTTTTCTTCCTAGCTTCTTCATAAATGTATTTCAGCCTTCTTTAAAGAGTTTGCTGCTTCTTTAAAGAGTTTGCTGCTGGAGGATGGCTTGCTGAAAAGCTGACTTCTAGAAAATAGTTTCCCATCTTGTAATATCCAGAACTTTTCCCACCCAAGAAAAACATGTCTCAGGAGGAATTCACTTGGGGAAATGCTAAAACTGTGATCTATGTCCAAGTGAAGATGGTCAGCAGACTTCAAATATCTGAATCATAAGGGAAGAGACCTGAGCTATAGATTGGGCAGTCATTCTTAATAGTAAGCAAAATCCTGAGTAAGCAAAATAGTAAAAGAGCTAAGAAATATTAATATTTAAAAGACAAACCAGAAGATTAAAAAAAAAAACCAAAAAAACAGAGAAAATGTTGCTAGAGGAGCAGTATCCAAAAGAACTCTGATTAGTAATGGAAATGTTCTGTATCTGCACTTCTCAATACAAAAATGACCAGCACATGTTCTAAGTGAATGAACACTTGAAAAATGGCTAGTGTGACTGAGGTACTGAATTTTTATTTTTAAAGATTTATTTATTTAGGGCCCTCCCTGGTGGCGCAGCAGGTTAAAGCACAGCACTGAGAATCTAAAGCCGCTTCCTCATGAGTTCGATTCCCGCCTGCCCCAGAGGTGACCACATGGCGTGGCAGACCTCTCCTGACCCGCCCGCTGCTCCCCTCAGCAGTGTACTTCGTCGATCTGCCTGTTCTGTTTCCCACTTTGTGTCTGGTGAAACCTCACACCGCCCCTGAACCTCTGGCCTGTACCCCGTTCTGTATGCACAAAAAAAAAAAACTTAAAAAAAAAAAAATAAAAAAAAAAAAAAAAGATTTATTTATTTATGCATACAGAATTGGGGTACAAGCCAGAGGTACAGGGGGTGAGAGGATTCATCAGAGAGATAGTGGGGAGCAGAACAGGCAGATGTCTGAAAGAAACGGTTGAGAGGAGCAGCCGGGATGGAACTCGTGCTGCCGTGGCGGTGGACAGCTTCACAGTACAGCGTTTTAACCTGCTGTGCCACTGGGGGGCGGGGTCCAAGGTACTGAATTTTTAACTTTTAAAATATATTAACTGAAATCCAAATGGCTACATGTGACTACTGCTTTGGGTAGTGAAGAGAGAAGGAATAGATAAAAAAAGTGTGTTATGGAAGTAAAGAATTTCAAAGTATTTAAAAAATGGTAATGATTAACAGGATGAAATGTTGGAAAACAGGACAAGCAAGGCTCAACAGTAACCATTATCATGATAAATGTTAATAAATGCTATGAATTGAATAGTGCTACTCTGACCCCCTCGTCCCCCAGCATGTATGACTTCAGTATGTGGCCTTATTTTAAAAGAGAATCATTGTAGATATAATTAATTAAGATAAATTATTTAAACTTATTTTTTACTATTCAAAAGGGAAGGCTTATTATATAAGGAGAGAAGAGGATGCTTGCACAGACACAAGAGAGCATAAAGAACTGCCCCCAAAAGAGACAGACTTAAGAAAAATCTATAGTCACAGGTGGGCCAACCTGGGAAGAGAGCTGTCAGTTAAGATGAGTTTATACTGGAGTTAGGTAGCCCTTAGTCTAATATGACTGGTGTATTTACAAAAATGAGAAATTTGAACATACAGGTATAAACACCGAAGTTAGGATAATGGGTTTCCAAGTCTAGGAATATTAAAAATTACCAAAAACTAGAAGTGAGTCCTGGAATCCAGATCTTTCCCAGCAATACAAAACAAATGAAGAGATCCTCCACCAAAGTGATTTTCAAATGCTCTATGAGACATAGGTACCTGGCTCAAACATTGCTTCATATTGTCATAAATTCCATGGTTTAAAAACAATTATCATCAAAAGAACACTTACCTTTGGTTTCTAAAATTTCAAGAGTAGTCATTTTTAACCAATGAAAATATACCCCACGACTTCTGGAACACCTAAAAACATATAAATATGGAAGAATTTTTAAAATAATACCTTATAATAAGTACATTCACTAAATGCTGGGAATTTCAGTACTACCTGCTTCAGCATTTAGTAAGCAGCCATTTGGAAAGGGCACGTTTCTCATGTGCCAATTCCAGAGCGGATATTATTATACCTATGGTACTGCTACGTGTCAAACAAGCGAGAAGAAATTTGCTGTCAAATTTCTGTCTCACTGTCCTTACCAGTATACTCTTTACTCAGCTGTGTGTCCTGAACTTTATTTCAAAAACAGCACAGAAGTTACTATAGGCTCTTTTTCACCAATTCTTGTTCCATTGATATATAGCAACAGAAATTTTACAGTAAGTCATTTACTTTCTGAGGAGGCATTATTGACAACTACTTTTCATTAAATATATCAAAGGTGCTCTGTAGAGCTGTTTAACTAGCAACAAAAATGGTCATAGTTTAATTTGGTAAAATTAAAATGCTGTAACATATGCTTTCAGAAATACGTGCATTACCATATAGCACAGAATAAGATTCATGGGAGAACTTGGAAAGAATGGCGATAGTAATGACATTAATATGAACTGTACGCTAGATACAACTGGTTTAAACACCGAAGAGTACAGAGTACGAGATACAACTCGGCACAGGGTTTTCTATGACCACCTTTTTGTTTAGTCTTTAACACTGCTATGGCTCTGAAAACAAGTATCCAGACACTTTTCCAATGAGAAAACAGCCCCAAAGCCACGCGCGCGGAAGAGGCACACTGAAGTGTGCAATCACAGCGAGCATCCTCCTGTGCAAATACCTGGGGAGGGAGGTGTGGAATGGGTAAGAGGAGTTTCGGAAGCAAGCCTGTCCACCACCGCTGTCCCTGGACGTCGAATCCGAGGTTCTACCACTGTGGACAAACCATCCCTGAGCAACAGGCAGCTTTTCCCCAGATCCCAAACTAATGAACAAACTCCATCCCAGACCTTCGCCCTTTCCCAAATCCGCTGAGTTACACAAGCCGCTTCTTGGAATTACCTCTAAAGACTCTACCGATTTCAGGGGGCTTCGCTTTTCAGGACGTCCTACTCGATCAGTGGGTTCACCTCTCCGTAAAGTCCTCTCCCATTCCGAAGACTTCCGGGCCTTCCTGACGTGTTGCTCGCTCACTAACAACCACTTCCGATTACTCAGGGCTGCATTTCCGGAATTCTCTTTGCAAAAGAAAAAAGTGAACACTTTGTGGGTGTACTTAAACTGAAGTAGTACAGAATAAGCGGTGGAAGCCTTCAGTAAGTGAGAACTCAATAGAGCCTATTTTAAAATAAGCTAGAATATTTGTACTATAACCGCATATTCTCTTGAGCTTCCGGGTCAGGTGTCAACCAAACAAGTGATGATGTTGGCGAGAGGACGGCCGAGCTCCGTCGCCCACAGCGACCGAGTGAAGGGGTGGATCTGTCGGCTGGGTGGGCGGGGCTTTGGTTACTTCCAGCCACTAGGGACAGAGGGGCGGTGACGCTACGCATTTCCGTTAGTGGGCGGGGCTCTGTCGCCAGAGTAACCGGCTTTAGTGTTAGTATCTTCCTGTTGCAACGATTCCTACTTTATTGTGCTGAGACCTGAGACTATGGTGAGTGCCAGGCGAGGCGAGAGTCCCGCGGTTATGGTTACGCAGTGTCCCTGTTCTTGGGCCAGATGACCACTTAGACGCGCCCCCTAAACTTTCGCCTCATAGTCGTCTTTCTCCCTTTTTAGGACTCCCTGCCTTGCTCTCCCTTTTTCTTGCAGCACCCTGAATTCCACTTTGGTACCGCCACGCCTATAGAGTAACCTAACAGCAAGTTTAGGGATAAGGCATTGAGTTTAATAGTCTGAGGTGAGACATTTCGTCCAAACATTTAAAATGCGTTTTCACCCTTAACATTCTTTTCAAGCTCTCATCTTCATCGTGACGTGTGACTGTGTGTATGGGACTGTCTCAGCACTGATCCTAGTCTCCCTAGATCCTGCAGACTTTATTCAACTAAATGACAGCACTGATGTCTAAAGGCCATTTAGTATTAGCTACATTTTGCATCACTTCTCTTCTAGCTAGTCGTGCTTTTTTAAACTGGAACGGCTCTCAAGAGAACTTCTGGAATATTTACTTTCTTGAGTTTAATTAATAGGAATTCTGAGTGTACACGAAGGGGATCGATATTTGCATTAAAAAAAAAAAGCTTGATTTCAATTTTAGTCCGCTCATATATTTGAGAACAACAGGGCTCTACCTAATTCATTTAATTACAAAATCTTCTTTCAAATACTTATGAATAAGGGACTGGAGGGTGTAAAGATGACTTATCAGACGGGTATAACTATGAATTTAGGGATTCTCACCTGCACCATCCCTTCTTTCTCCATTACTATTCCCAATCCTTTTTGTTGCCTGCCTTTTTCGCAGAAACCTTTTAAAAAAAATCTTCACTTTACATATCTTGACACTTCTCTCTTTCTTCCATTTCTAAACATATGGCATAATCTAACAGTCAGTTCCTTCAACCTCATGTCGTGAACCTATACACTGACCAATAGTTTTATGGATTTTTCCCTCTTGTGTTTCTAGATTAGCGGAAGAGATGATGGATAATGAATCTATAGCTCAGTTACTACCATTTATTATAGGACATTTTGCTTCCAGTTTTCTTTTCTTTCCTGTGCATTCAGACTCTCTGTTTTCTGCCACTCACCTTTCAAGTTACACATATTAAGAACGCGACATAAAGAAGCACATCACCTATCCTGTGTTTTTCATGTTATTACCCAATCTTACTATCTATCCACATCCATCCATCCATCATCATCTGTATATCTCTACCTACCTACTTATCTACCTACCCACCCACCCATCCACCCTACCTACCTAATCAATCCTGTTTAATCATATTTCTTGCATGCTCTCTTGTACTGTTTTTAGCAGTCTGGTCTGGTAGTTCTTCAATCCATTATTTTGTCTGCCACCAGAATTTTCTAAAACCCAAGTTTGTTAATGTTACTTACCTCTTTAAAACTTTAAACTTCTCATTCCCTATTTTGTTTTATGTAAAGTTCAGAGTATTTGGAATAGCATACAAGGCCCTCCATGATTTAGCACTTACCTCTCTAGCTTCTTTACTGCCTCTATCTTTCCTAGACACTCTTTTTAACCCTCTTGACTTTTAGCTACTTACCTTTCATTTAACATCCCAAGCAATTTTAAACTGGTAGTAAACCTACTCTCTCTACTGTGTACATACTGATGATCCCTCTGTGTCGAATCCTTTACCATCTTATTTGCTTATCAAACTCCTATTGTTGAAACCCGCCCCCCGCCCCCTTCCTCTTTCTCCATTCTTGACTGGAATTGTGTGTGGTGACTCAAGTCAGGTGGTCAGTGAAGACCCCTTCGAGGAAGTGACATTTATCTCAAGATCTGAATATAAAATGCAGTGATCTGGGGAAAGGATTATGAGCTGGGAACAGCATTCAGAGTGCTCTGAGAGGAATGCTTCTATTTCAGAGTCTTAATGAAGGGTTTTTATATATTTAGTATATGTGCAGGGGGGTTACAGTAAACATTTAAACTACAGAGACAAGAATGAATCTGGTAGGAGTCTTGTTTGGATTTTTTTTTTAATATTACATATTTGTTGAAGAGAACAAGCAGGGTAGTTAAATCTTATCTTATTCTTTGGAAAAAGCACCTTCTGGGAAACTGGGGAGTACAGGTATCAGTCCTGGAAACTGAACATTCCTTTTAAGTTAGTGATTTGCTAGAAGACGACCCAAGTTTCCTTGGCAGAGGCTATGCCCTATGTCTGGCCTTGCCTACAAGTTTGGGCCTAGGAAATGGGCATCTAATTTGTGATAATTCAATTTCAGTTAATAGCTTTTACAGTAGGCTCAAAGGCAGCAAAGAGATTGGCATGTTTCAGGAGCTGACCTTTTAGTTTACTATAAAAAAGAATGGAAATTAGAGGATGCATGGGGGATGTTTGGTGTAGATGGGGTTGGAGAGGTGGACCGAGGCAGGGCCACAAGTGTGCGCTACAACAGTGTTTCTCAAACCATGGGTTGTAACCTGTTACTTGATCGTGGCAAGTACCCAACAAGGATCTCAAATAACTGGGGTACAAGTCAGAGTTGCAGGGGCGGTGAGAGGC